CCACATAGCAGCAGTTCTGGGTTGTTCCTACAATATTAAACCTGTTTTGGGTGTGTTGACAGGTAGAGGAGTGTAGCTGTGCAGGGTGACAGTGCAGCCCCTCCCTGGCTCTGCTGAATGACTGGGAAGGCGCCTGAGGAATGTGGAGGTGTGCAGACATGCAGCTGCTCCAACTGTAAATCCAGCATGCACACTTTGCACAAAAACCTACCTACGACAAGCCTGATACCCCCCGGGGGCAGGGTACTAAAAAAAATCCCTGAGCTAAGAAATCCCTCAAAACAGAGTTTCTCGTTTTTGTGCTTAGTGCATTTCTAACAAAGCTGCTCTTGAGAAAAGAAAGAAGCCGGTTTCAGGGTGTGCCACTCACAATGTCAACATTTTGAATCCTGAATAGCAGCGTAAACTAATTCGTCTTTCTTGCAGCGATAAAATCAGAGCAACCTTTGATAATGGCTGTTTTTCAGGTTGCACCATTATCTAGATGTCATGTTTAGTATGACTTTACACTTGTTCATCAGCCTGTTATAGCTGAGGCGCGACAGCTGTTCGAATCAACTTAACAGACTCTAGAAAATGATTTTGTAAACCATGGGGAAGTCCTGCATTGAAACAGGGTTCTTCCTCTTTGTGCGGCTGCTTGCTAACTTCGTCAGCTGAGAAAATGCACAAATAAGCTGCACATGTCTTTCTTCTTCAACTAAACAGCCTACAAGTATTGAAATGGCTATTTACTGTAGCACTGCCATAAATGGAAGTTAAAACACAGCTGTAGTGTAATAAAGACCTTTCTGGGAGGCATGGACTCCATTTCTGACGCCTTCTGGGCCAGAGTCTCCAAGTTGATCTCTTAGACGCCCTCCTTCTCCTACGGATGACCCCTTCTGGTGTCACTTTCCCCTCCTTTCACCACCTGAGTGCCTGTTACCCCCGTTGTGGGGTAGTGCAGGATCTTTGGATGCTTGAGACCAAATGTTTGTTGAGGGGGGTCCCAGTGGAGACTGTCCTTCTCTGGAAAGGCGACGGGAACGCCTAGGTGCCGCCGACTTTGTATCTGAAGGCTCAGCAGGATTTGTGGCGACCTTTTCAGGGAATGGATCAGGTACGGGTGATGAGTCACAGGTCTGAGCTCCTGGTCCCAGTGACTGGACCCCCTTTTTAGGCACGGTGTCCGGGGGACTGGGCTCAGGGGGCTGACACGGGACAACGTTTTGGGTTTGCTGCTGTTTTGGTTGCACCTGTGGTTGTGTTGTTTCTTTCTGCGTCACGTTTTGTTGTTGCCGTTGTTGCATTTGCTGAAGTTGTTGCTGTCGCTCCTGAATCTGTTGCTGGTGATATTGCTGCTGCATTTGCTGCAGTTGTTGCTGTTGAATTTGCTGCTGCTGGATTTGGTGCCGCTGTTGTTGCAAATGTTGCTGCTGTTGCAACTGAAGATGATGCTGCTGCTGCAACTGCTGCTGCTGCTGCTGTTGTTGGTGTTGGTGCTGGTGGCGTTGATGCTGGTGCATTTGTTGCTGCTGTTGCATCTGGTGTAGCAGCTGCTGTTGTTGAGATTTAGGCTGCTCGGCGTACGCCAGGTTTGGTATTCCCTTGTTCCCTGGAAAAACAGAGTAATAACCTGATGAAAACTGTTGCTTGCTGGGCCTAATGTTGTCTGGAAGGGCTGCAGCATGGGTCCCTGCGAAGTGTGAGGAGGAGGAGCGTGGGGCTGACCCTGGAGCTCCACGCCTTTGTGGGCATGTTGATAGACTTGCAGCTGAGCCTGGTGCATTGCAGCCGCTGTGTGCTGCTCCCACTCCAGCCCCCTACCCTGAGCTTGTGCCTGGGGGGCATCCCTGTAAACCTCAACAGGTCCTCCTGGCAGTTGACTTTCTCCCCCCATTGGCAGAGCTACACCCTCATGGACCCCCTTGTGGAATGCCATCTGCCCCCTGGCATTCACTCCACCCATATAGGGGCCAAAGTTCTGCCCCCAGCCCGGAGCAGGGGCTTCCTGAGACCAGCCGGGGGCCTGCACGGACTCCTGGTGCATCCACTTTACTGGAGCAGCCTGTTGATAGTGCGGTAAACTTTGGGGCCCTTTCTCAGGGTTGTAAACAGCCGAGCTGCTAGCAGAGTCACTGTGGCTTGGCTCTAAAGCCGGAGGTCCCATCCCATAATAAACATCCCCTGAATGCTGCACAGGCTCTTTTCATGGCTGCAGCCCGAAGCTTGCCGCTCTTGTCAGTAATTAACTTGAGAGGGAAGACTCATAGTAATATTGTACAGTAATGTTGGAGTCAGAGCTCTCAAACTGGTACTGCCTCTGTAGTGTGCTTTGCCTGCCTGAGGTCGAGGAACTCTTTGTTTAAGTGTGTATACAGAGGTGATTGGGAGGAAATATAAATCCCAAAGGAAAGTGCAGGGTGGGGAGCATGCAACCCTCCTTCCAGAATCAAATCTGAGGTTGCTGTTCTTTCTTCTCATCCTCTTTATGGTGCCGGACCTTGTGAGAGAAAGGAGGGGTTAGACACTTTATTTGTATCTGAGACAAGCACACAAGTTTTCAGTCGTTTTCCACTGGTATGGAGCAAAAATGAAACTGGGGCCTACACGAGTGACTAGCCCAGCAGTGAGTAAAGTGGAAACTCAGTCAGAGAGCATGTCTTGTGATCAAAACCTATGTAATCGATATTTACGTGCAGAACAGGACGCATACACTGAAGAAGTTTGAGACGACAGCAACAAGGAGGCGCTGACTATGCAGCTGCCATTTGGGCATAACAAGAAATACAGGAAACGGAGGGCTCATGCAATCACCCCAGCGATAGCCAGTGATGTTATGTAAAGAAAAAAAAACTGCAATAAGGAAGCGTCTTGAGAGCTATTAGGCAATACAACAGAATAGTGAGCATGAGTTAAAACTAGTGCATATACCTTATTAATGGTGCACGGAGCTTCTCTATGTCCAGCTCCATGGAGTCACTTTGGTTTCGATCAAAGTCGACTGCATGCAGCTCCATGAAGGGATTGTGCGCAGCAAATGTCATAACTCTGACAACTTTTCCTCGAGTTTCACAGCGCACAATATGGCGAACAAGCGAGTTTAGAATCCCAATAGCACATAATCCAAAATCCGGACCGGCTGGAGAGGCTCATTAAACGCTGTAGTTACACAGTTTGCACACTGGATCAGTGAAACCCTGCACTCCAGGAAAAAAAATGTCCACAACTTTCTCCCCGCATAAACGAGTAGAGCACACATGAGACGGTGAGTGTGTGGAAACTGTGGCCGTGCAGCGGACTGCTCGGGTATTTCCGGAGATTTCAACACGTTGCACACGAGCCCCGCGGACTCAGATGTTGTGTTTAGGTTTATCCAGAGTATATGAAGCGCTGCGAAACTGCGCAAACACGCAGAAAATTGTGCACCGCCTCACCCCAAAACAGCAAAACTCACATCCTGTTATCCAATCCGATCGTCTGGCCACTCCCATGCTGTATCCGTGTCCGTTTGTTTTACTGTCCCGACTGCCCGTAAAGCGGAGTCTCATAACTATAGACTGAGAGCTCATAACACGGAAACAGTCTGTTTAAGTAATGATACCCGAGAACTGTGGCGAGATATATTGAGACCTGCTATCTATAACATTGAACTTCTACTGGATTTTTTTAAATGGTTGACAAATATATGAACATTCATGTTTTTATTAATACTATTTTTATTTTTTTCAAAGATCCTTATCATATTTTCAAGAAAGAATTTGAGCTATATGGAATGAAAACAAAGTCAGTAATAAAACACTTGTTGTTGTGTAATGATCTACTTTAGTTACTTCCTATTATGGAATGTTAATTGCTAATACCTTTGTACTTAAAGTTAAATACAATCTTCAATCACAATGTGCTGTAACAGAGTATGGTTGAACTTCTTAATATGTATGTATTTATCTAAACAAGGACCATGCATACAATACAAATACATTAATCTCAGAAAAGAGAAGAGATGTTCAATGCCAGATTTGAGCTAATAGCTCATTTCCATCTGCGGTCCTGAGGCAGGTACAGGATAATATACTATTCAGTGTTTCCAATACATTGAATTTGATTCTATTTGTGTGGCGGACCCCCACAAATAGAATCAAATTATGTGGGAAACACTGCTATTATTTCAGTAAAACATTTGCGTACTTCGACCGACCACCCTGAAAACAATCTGAAATAGCAGTATACAATTCCTTAACTCACATTGACCTTTTTTTCAACTGGTCTCCTACAACAGGTTCAAAGGGCTTTATGGCATATCATATGCACAGTGTCACAGGCTCCTCCAACAATGCAACATAAATATATATAATACATAACACTAAATGAAAAAACTATCAAAATACTGCAAGAAGAAACAGAATAGAAATAAAACAGTCCAGGAGAATGGTGCAAGACTGACTATATCTAAGTGACATAGAATAAGCTAAACATAGAATATAAAATGATATGCTGTACAGTGAATTAAAAGAATGATTATTGTAATAATAGATACATATGTGAGATGCAAATTGTATGGAGTTGTGAAGGCCAGAGCTCAGGGGTTTAGCAGTCTTATAGCCTGGGGGATAAAACTATAATATTTAATAAAGCAAAATATAATTCCTAAAGCTCAGTCTCAGCTTTTGGTTTTGGTGTGCCACCCAAAGATTTTCAGTGGCCTCATCTGCCACACATTCTGGGAGCGCCACTAAGAGGTGGTGGTGAGGAGTGGTGGGGTGAATGTTTATTAATATTTTATAAGGACTACCAGAATGTACTGCAACGCCCCTGCTACTCTAATGCTGTATGTTTCGACAACACACCACAAATAGTGGTGTGTTGTCGAAACATGCTTGCAATGCAGTGTTCATTCACATATGCATTGCTGTATTTGGACCACATGTAGTTTGTCTGTACAGTGTTGTAATGTGCAAAGTGTTGCAGAGTTTGCTCCTCAGAGGATGCAGCAGCAGGAGTTTGCGGCTCAATCAGGAGAGACTAGCGCTGTGACGTCAGAGCGCTGTGAGGCAGAGCACGGGGCATCACTGCACATCCATTAGCAGGCTAGCTGGCTAACTGTGGCTAACGTCAGCTATGGTCCATCACTATTATTATCTAATTTCCAAAATAAACAACCACTCGGAATGACATGGCTGACTAGCAACAGGCACGGAACATGGTGACTGTTTGGATTTTAACTGGGAATCCAATGGTGCAACGAAGCGAGGTAAGAAGGGGTCAGGAGAAGAGGGTATCTTTAGTAAACACGCTAAGCTAGTTAGCTTGTTTACTGGACTACTGGACGCGCCGCATTGAAAGACTCCAGTTAGCTAGATTAGCTTCCTAACGACTAATCCTCTCAAACGACTGCTTTATGGCCATTTATGAGAGGAGATTGCTGCTGCTCTAGTCGTGGTTGTGTGTTTGGCACAGAGTCAAATTATCCCAGTTGCTATCTTTGTATGACAATTCAGCTTTGTTGAGCTTTTTCCAGAATGAGCCTTTGAGACGTGAGGTGTAACGTTAGCTAACCTTTGCAGCAGTTTAAATGCTATTGCCCCACATGTTTCTGTCGGCCACTCAAACATTTAACAAGTAATGCTTCCTCCTTAGATGTTTGCATGCACAGAGGCATTCAGTGTGCAGAGATTTTCGAAGATAAAATGGACATGCATTTTAAAATGTGTTTTCAGTGAGGAGCTTGCGTCACTGATGCCAGGTGCAGGCTGTAGCTGAGAGCTCTCAGGATGAGTGGGACTGGAGAGCACACTGACATCCTGTCAGTGGCAGACGTGGTCAGAGACAGATGGAAAGTGGTAAGAGAAATCACAAAATCAGGTTGAAAAAAATACAGATGACACTGGGTTGACAATGAATATGATCTTTGTTGCAGACAAGGAAGATAGGTGGAGGCGGCTTTGGGGAGATCTACGAGGTTCTGGATCAGTTGAGCCAGGCCACTGTTGCCTTAAAGGTGGAGTCTGCTCAACAACCCAAACAGGTGCTGAAGATGGAGGTGGCTGTGCTGAAGAAACTTCAGGGTGAGTGATGCTGTCCATTTGTCAGTGATGGAGTGGTATCTCCCCACATGATCGTGCTTTTTGTCAATTTAATAAGTATACTATAAGGGCTTAGCAATAACCAAACTCACACATTGCATTTAGCTTGTATGACCTCTCTGCGTTTTCCATGAAGTTTAATGTTTTATTACCCTTGGCAAAGTTTTGATTCGGTCTGATTATTTGTCCGTCAGCAGGATAAGGGAAAAGCTACTAGCACTCTTTCATGAAACGTATTGGAAGGCTGTAGCATGAGCCAAGAATGATCCATTACATTTTGGAGTTGATCCGAAACACAGAGCGGATACACAAATTATATTTCACTTTCGTTGACATTGTGATATGGGGCACGGCCTTGGCAGAGGTCTGTGATCTCTAAGTGCACCTTTAATAAAACATATTGACGATATAAGCAGTGGTGGTCTTTGTTTTTGTATCAACAAAACAAAGTAGACCTGCTGTGTCGGAATCCAACTGAAGAACTTGTTTGAATTCAATGATTGAATAACTTACTCATTCTGACATTTATCAGCACTGATTTCACTGAATCAGGAAATCAACATTTGTATTTATACAGCATATATTTATTTGACAGGCAAAGACCACGTGTGCCGCTTTGTGGGCTGTGGCCGAAATGATCGGTTCAACTACGTGGTGATGGAACTCCAGGTAGGATTTTAACCAGTCATTGTTAGTCAAGTTTTTTTTGCTGACCATCAATCTGTGACTGAACACTGATTTATTTTCTCAAGGGGAGGAATCTTGCAGATTTGCGAAGAACCATGAGCCGCGGCACCTTTTCCGTCTCCACAACTTTGCGACTTGGCAAACAGATTTTAGAGGCCATTGAAAGCATCCACTCTGTAGGCTTCCTGCACCGAGACATCAAACCCGTAAGTTCACCTAAGACACTGTACGGTTTGTACATTAAATGACAGTCAGTTTATTGTTTAACTTGCTTGTTATTTTTTTGTGTTGTTGAAATTGTAGTCCAACTTTGCAATGGGAAGGCTAGCCAGTACCTGCAGATGCTGCTATATGCTTGATTTCGGCTTGGCCCGCCAATTTACCAACTCCAGCCAAGAAGTCCGTCCAGTAAGTGTACTGCATCAATTTCCTGCAATGTATTTTGTTTTTTTTAATCAAAGATCCCACAAGTTATTTCATGTTGGAGAAGCTGTTTAAAGTGTAGTCCTAGAGGTTTGGTGTAGCATGTTAACACAGAAAAGTGTTATTACAAGAAATGAAACTCTGATACGATATTATATTTTATTTACAGCTCTAGGGAGACCTCAACACTTATTTAAAGGCACATAAATATACACATTTCACAACAAATTAGAATTAATTTCATGTAACGTCACATAGGGATGCTCAATTAATCGTATTTTAATCGCAATTACGATTATGGCTTGCAACGATTACGAAAACAACGTAATCGAATAAAACCATTATTTTTTTATTATTACTTTATTTTTATTTATTTTTTATAAAACATTTTTATTGGTTTTTCAGTTGAATTATACTTAAAGTTCAGGGTAATCAACTGTTAAAAACATACTGTTAAAAAAAAAATTCTTCAATAAATTGATGTTTTCAAAGTAAATGGATAATCGTTTTTTAATAATCGTGATATCAATTATTGACCCAAATAATCGAGATTATGATTTTTGCCATAATCGAGCAGCCCTAACGTCACATCAACTTCCACTGCTTCACCTTAATGACCCCATGAGACATCAGTGTGTGACCATCCCAAAAGGGTTTTGGATTGGCAATGTATTTCAGATTTAAACAATAAAGCCAGTTCCCTTTAACACATTTTTTATAAATACATCATAATGCTAACTAATCTATTCGACCATATCTTTATTAAATGATATCTTTATTCTCTCCTATAGCCCCGTCCGGTGGCAGGCTTCAGAGGAACTGTGCGATATGCTTCAATCAATGCTCATAAGAATAAGGTAAGCACAGACACAAATTATATTCTACTATTCATATTTAGTTTTACCCTTGACCTTACTTACATTTGCGTATCGTAATTTGTAGGAAATGGGTCGACATGACGACCTGTGGTCCCTCTTCTACATGCTGGTTGAGTTCACTGTTGGTCAGCTTCCCTGGAGGAAAATCAAAGACAAAGTAGGCGCCTCAATGCATTTTTGTCTGTATGGCTTATTAATTATCAGCATGTGTTTAAATTCATATTCTAATTACCGCCTCTCTGCTCTCAGGAACAAGTAGGAAACCTAAAAGATACGTATGACCACCGACTCATGCTGAAGCACCTTCCCTCAGAGTTTTGTGCTTTCCTGGATCACATCTTGACCTTGGACTACTTCACTAAGCCAGACTATCAGGTTGGCCATGTCTTGTTTGGTTTATTTTGCACACACTGTCTATTCCTCTACAGCTGTCAAATGCTGACACCTGTGGTTTTCTCTGCGACAGCACCTGATGTCAGTGTTGAGAACGCTATGAAGAGTCACAGTGTGCTGGAGAATGACCCTTATGACTGGGAGAAATGTGACTCGGAGGGTATGCTGAGCATCACTGCCGCAACAACCACGGCTCAGCAGCTCACTCGCCTCACACCGGCGTACTTGGGGTATTTACAGCCAAAGAAAGCTCTATTACTACTAACATACATCCATTTATTGTATAAGTTGCTGTCTTGTGTTTGTACTTTCACTTATGTTATTCAAACTATCTCCCTTCTCTGTGGAAAATGTGTTCAAATATATAGCAGGGCTAGACATTATAAATGGCCCGCTGGCCCGGAAGCACTATTTAGACACCCCGGGCCAGCATAACGTACTTTCCACTTGCCCGCTCGGGCCATTAAAAAATATTGCATAAAAAAAAAAAACAGTAAGACATAAAATCACATTGTCCTGTATTATTGGTATTTTGACAAACAATTTTGTTAAATTGTTTCGTTTATTAACGCTACAACATAGCGTTTCGTGAGGCGGTTGTCGTTGTTGGATGAAAAGCAAAGCACGCTCCCGTGCGCGGGAGTCTTCACTACAGACTTTCGCGCCACCTAACCATTCGCCAAAATGTTTTGAATACCAGCGGTAACCGGCCAAGCGCTGGGCAAAAAACAATCTTCAAATAAAAGAAAGTCACCGGAGGAGTTAAAGGAGAGTGACAGGGAGTATGAGAAGAAGACTGAGAGAAAGTTTCAGCCACACTGGCTTGATCGATGGAGCTGGCTTCAATATACCCTCCTTTTTTTTCTTTAACAATGACCACAATATAATAATTTTAATAAACCAAATATGAACAATTGAGGAAAATAAGGAAGAGCTGATGATTCAAATGTTGTAGTACAAGTAGTAATGTAGTTTGTGCATAAATTACTATTGCAACCAATGTGTTAATTTTCTTCATTATTAGAGTTGACGAATGCTCTTGGGCCAGTGGTTACAATGGTGGGGCCAGTGTTAATGAACATCTACTAGCCCTGATATATTCCTTAATGTCAAAGAACCAGATATGTAAGACTCCCTTAATGTCTACCCCTGTATAGCTGCAGTTTTTTTTGGACTCAAATTCTGCACAGTCAGTGATCCCTGAGAAAATAGCTGCTCTGAATCGTGCTGTGAAAATGAGCTGCAGTGTGACCTTCCCTCTCCTCCACAGCATGGCCAACGCTTCTATGCTGCCAGCCGAGCTGCAGAGGGAGAACACTGAGGATGTCCTGCAAGGGGAGCGCCTCAGCGACGCAGACAACTGCCCCCCCATCCCCACACCCACCACCCCTGGTGCAGATGTATGGGAAGAGATGGACCGCAACCGCAACCTTAAACATGTCCAGCCGACCATCAGGAAGGTCAGGGCAATGTAGTTACTGTAATCGCTAAGCAGAATGTTCTTATCTACTGAAATATGATTTTTATGTAACTGCTTTTTTTTTCACATGCATTTTAATGTGTAGTTTATCTGCACTGCAGTGGATGGCTGTAAGAAAAACAACCCCAAGACTACATTGACTTTGCCTAGAGAAATTATCATGGTTAACCTCTGTTACAACATCTACTGCAAACCCACTACTGACACCCTGCTTTCATATTTAAAATGGCAATGAAAACTTATTTCCTTCAGTTGATGAAGAATATAGCAATTGCATAATAAATGTGCCTTTTGAATAATGACACCATTGGTTCCCTTTAAGCCTTTCTTTACAAAGAGATGTTATCTGCTGTGCCTTTACTAATGAAGGAAGTAAAACAATAACGTGACGGATTCGAATGCAATAAATATTAACATTTTGAGCTGCCTTGTCGTTCACTCTGCTCAGGTGGTGAGTGAGGATGAACACAGTCAGAACCAGGGGAACCAAAGCCCCAACACCGGCTCCATGCAGAGTTCTCCTAGACGGGTGCGATCAGAGACCATGTTCCTGGAGCGGGCTGCACCTCTTCTCCGGAGGATGAGACACAGTCAGAGCTTGGCGTTTGAAAAGAGGCTCGCACCCGAACCCAAGCCCACCATCGAACGCTTTCTTGAGGCCTAGTTAGTATATAATATAATCGAATGACAATATATACAGCTTTCAACATTTAATTTTTGGAGAAATGTACATAACATGCACAATATTTTGTTTCAGCCTGGGCAAACAACGCCCTGTCCTTTCTCAAGTCGGGAAGATGACCATTCCTGAGAGGGGGGAGGGGAAGCAGCCTTTCTGCCTCGAGGAGCACTCGGGCGCAGCCACCCCTGATCAAGAGGAAGGAGCAGCCAGCTGCGGATTTGTGGCCGTGAACCTCAGCCCCGTGCCCCAGGAGGGAGACTCTCAGGAGTGGGTGATGCTGGAGCTAGAGCAAGGCGGCGGTTCTGGAGCCAGCAAGCCTACAGGCGAGGACAAGCGTGAGGACAAGCGTGAGGACAAGCCTGGGACGGACGCGCCCGCTGAGGCTGAGAATCAGACCTCCGAGCCGCAGGAGGGTCAGTCAGCAGCGGTGCCCAGCAGTCCTATCCTGTCACAGATGTCCATGCCCGGCACGTGGTTACTGGGCCACAGGAGACTGCCGGGGATGCTGGGACAACTGCCCTCAGTCATGATGGGACGAACCCAGATGGACCAGGTAGGGGTGACCAATAGAGTAGCAACTAACCTTTTTTTTTATCAGCAATTAATCTGCCAAATGAATCTAATATGTGTCCTAAAATGTCAGACAATTATAAAAATGCCCATCACAGTTTCCTAGTTAATGTCTTGTTTTGTCAGTCCAATACCCAAATATATTCAGTTACATTTTATTGAAAAAAAGCATGACATTTTCCTATTTTTGATTAGGTGATACGCCAATTAAACGCTGCAGCTCTACTAACAAAGCATTTATTCATGAATGAACTCGACTAATGATTGCCATAGCACTATAGATATGTTCAAACTCCAAGCTTTATGATTATTAGCATGTCTAAGACTTGGATAAACCACAACTTATGAATGTTATTTGAACATTTAGACGTGCTCTTTAGATAAATAATAGGATGGTTTTCAATTTCATTGTGTTACATATCAGAAAAAGGTCAAGCCCTCTAACGCTCATTAAACTCTTCTCAGTCTTCTAGCTGTGCACTCCCGTCCCCTGTGGATGAGAGGAGCGCTGCAATACCACTAGAGGCGCCATCTGAAAAATCTGAAATACTCCCAGAAGAAATCTTAAACCACGGAGAGAAGTTGGAGTTAACCCCAGTGCCAAGCTCAGCCAAAGGTCACGCTGCTCATCTGACAAACGACAGAGACCCTGAGAGTGACTCTGGTCTGCCTGACCGCTCCTCGGAGCCCAATCAGCAGCCTCAAGCCGACACAGCAGGGGGCGCTATGGAGAGCACCGTCACCGTCTCCTCCTCTCCTCCCCCAGCCCTGCTCCGGATAAGAGACTGTCCCTCGTCCCCTAGATTAAGTCGTATCCCAGTTCGAGACCCCAGCAACCCCCTGGACTCTCCGAGCAGGGACCTGAACATGGAGAGGCGTCACCGCTGGAGCAGCCCGGTCCCCGGCTCCCCCACCCACTCCCCCTCTCCGTCTCTGTCCTGTGACAACCTGCCGTGCGTTTTGCCGAGAGACCGGCTCTTCTCAGAGCGAGGATCCAGGTCTGACTGTGTCGGAGAAGACCCTCTCTCCCTGTCCTCCTCATCGGGGAGTAAGAGTAAGATCCCCCGACCTGTGAGCGCCACCTTCATACCGGAGCAACTCACTAGCAGGTTTCTGCCTCGACCACCGCCGGGGAAACCACCCATCCGCCCGGGCGTGGACAACAGGTATAACGCTGTCAAAATGATCCACATTATACACCATGTACTTGTATAGGTAATAGGTATCCAGCGTTCCACACTCAATTTTGTAACTGCAACTAGTGCACTGCATTTTTCCATACTCCTCAGTTTTGCAAAAAAAATCCAGGCATACAGAAATTGAGACACTGCTTTAAAGTGTATGTAAATGAGAAAAAGGAAACATGAACCCAGGCTGTTGCCATTGAAATGCACAACAACAGGATGTTTTATACAGATATATTCAGACAGAAAAATAATACAAACCTGAACATTAAAGCATGTGCTAGTGAAGAAACCTCAAGAATACGAAAGTATAAAGCATGCACCTAAAAAAAGGAAAATATATATATATATAGTGAAATATCAAAAACTGTTGGCTTGATCACATTTTAAGGTTTATAACTTGAATTTCACTTCACAGAATGATTTCAAGAGCACGACGAATCATAATGCAGAATCATAATCATGATGTCTTTTCTCAAGAAGGCGCCGGTTAAGAGTGCGTGCCAGCAGCACCAGCGACGCAGACTTCCTGGCCAGTCTAACTCAGCTGATGCAGGACCGCGGCGGGGTGCTCTTCAGCCCCCCCCCTCGCCCTCGCAGCTCCTCCTCCTCCCTGCAGCGCTCCCTAAGCTCCTCCCCCTCCCGGGAGCTCCGGGAGGGCGGGGTGCTGCAGGGACGCAGCTACTCTCCCTCCAGCTTCTCTGGTTCCCCTCCTCCTCGCCACTCTCACCCACACGACAGGCCCGGGCTCCAGGCTCCGTGGGGCCACAGCTCCAGGGGAAGGGGTCTCCTCCACGAGGGTAAAGGCTCTGGAAAAGTGAGTCGGTGACTGTATTTGGAACATAAGTGACTGATCGGGATGGTGCAACTGTAGCGAGAGGCTGTTTCACATCCAGTCGCTGATAGCATGTGTAAATACAGTATTTACTCAAGGGAATGTACTGTATGTAATGTAAAATGTATAAAATGTATTTATTTATTTATTCATTTGTTGGACGTGTCTCTCGAAATACTTGACGATGTGGCTTGATACCTGCAGTTGAAATAGAAAGGTTGAGAAAACCTTAAGATTGCCAACTCTTACCTCTCATTTCACTCCTCTTAACTCTCCATATAGGCCTAATATGAGACCAAAAAGATAATGTTAAATACTTGAGGGATGTAAAAAATGATGCTTATTGTAGATATGTACCATGAGGAAGATAGTAAACACTAATAGAAACCATGAACTCACGTTAAGAACACTAATAATAAATAACACCACGTGCAGTATACCAACATCGGTTGACATGTACAGAACCAGGGCATGCAGCTTTGACCTCACTCCTGTAAAACAGCTGGATTAATTATTATATGTGACAATGAATTGCTCATTTGACATATCAGAGCGTAGTAGTGTGCTTTTACTTTGCTAGAAAATATTTGTCATGCAGAAGGCATCCGCATATTAGAATGTACATGTAAGTGCACTCATACTTAAGTATTGTGAAAGAGCATGGCTATCATTGCAATGGATCTTTTTTTATTTTATTCATTTGTACAATCTGCTTGGGCGTGTATTTTTATTGAACTGCTTATGATCTCAAAGAACATCATAATATGAACCAGCAAAGATGTGCACTTTTATTTCTTCCACAAAATAGATGGTAAAGGAAGAAAACTGATAAAAATGGAACCTGTTCATCATGTCTCCTTGTTGTTGCATTTTATTTTTTAGCACAATTTTAAATATAGTCAATTAAATAAATGCCAATTCTAAACAAACGTTGAATTCATGGCTACACTTGCTGTAGTTTTTCATTGTTGATTAAACGGTTAGTGCATTTACATGTTCTCACAATTTTTCATTCACTCCTGGTGTTATATGCAAATAGGTCTTCTTTTGTGTGTGCAGATCTCTATTTATGAAATATATGTTCTCTATATTGGCTCTAATGGGAATGGAAACGAGAAGTTGTCCCACGCTCAGCAGAACTGTCACTGATCAGATAAATGGGATAAAAACAGTCAGTTAAACTTTGAATACAAATGCTTTAATTATTTTTTTATACTCAAGTTAAACTAAAGTCACACAAACTCAGACTGCATTATGTCACTTGAGAAAAATCCTATTTCAAATGATGTGGAAGCAGCTGTTTTCTTTGACAGACGTCCCTGTAAGCACATAAGAGAGCCTGCTGGTGACCGAGTGGGGGGGTACCAGATGACAACAGTAAAATGAACACTCCCCCATCTGTTGTGGTCCATCACTGTACAATGTAACAGCAGTAAATGACAAGAAGTTACAGAATGTGTTGAGCTCTAAAAATCATTTAAATAACGGAAAGATTGATCATTGTTTTTTCCTGTCACACAACCTCCACCTTTTTATACCCAAACATCGACTACAGGTTTATGTACAGAGGAAATGGATGCTTTTAGATATTAGGTGCAGTATGGTGTTGGGGAATAATTGGCCCTGCATGTCCTTCTTCGCCCTCTGACGCAGCTGACCAACCTTGAGCAGACGTTATCTCCCTTAAGGAGGGGCTGCCCTAGCATATTGTTGATGTTACCCGTTTATGACCGGGCAACTCTCTGTCAGAGTTATTGTTGTGGGACACCTGGAACACATCCTTCTCGGGGTGTAGATGACCCCCCGAGCCATAAGCGACAACGACTCTGATTCAGTGTCCTCAGCTGTTTAGTCTATCTATTGAAGAATGTTGATTATTACACTGAACTAGTTAAAACCTCGAGCTACAGGAGGGTTCTTCAGAATTGATTGTGGCATCTCAACCGTGTGGACAGATCGTGGCCCGTGACATGTCTTGTGAATTCTCCGGCCGAAGCTCCAGATAAACCGTCAGTGTTTGCCATCAAAGCTCCAGCTCTCCATCGTGTCTCTGTTTGAGTCCTGACTGCAATCGCTTCAGAAGTTTCCCCCACATATGGCAAGTGCTGGTCAGTTATTTATCTCCACTGCTAACACAGTAAACTAAAATATGATACTATAGTAAGCAACTTAATTAGAAACCATCTCATAAAAATGTCCACTAAGTAGCTGTTCTGTAGCTTCTTCATTGGCGTCACTTTGTTAGAAAAGTGGTGGGGACACTTTCTCCAGATTCTCCATGAAAAACCAATGCAGAGACCTCTGGACCACCAATACTGTATGTGTTTTTTTTATGATACATCTTGCTATGATGTGATTTTGAGTGAATGTGTGGCTTTATTCACACAACGAGTACACAGGTATAGAGGACAGAACTTGAGATGAGTGAAAAATAAATACAGGAATAAAAAAATAATTTGAAAAAAATCAGTAATAAATACAGGAATAAATAAACACAGGAACAAATGAATAAATAAATGTGGAAATGAATAGAGGAATACATATACACAATAAATAATTAATAAATACAGGAATAAATAAATGTGGAAATAAATGCAGGAATACATAAACACAAGAAAAAATGTATAAATAAATATAAATAGAGAATAAAACAGAACACACATTATATATGTTTAATGTATTTCTACATTTATTTTCAAGAACAAACATTTCTAACATGTTTGAGATTTTTACTCTGGGCTCATCAGATGAAAAACTAAAGAGGGGCTTCCAAATCTGGCAGAGCAGGTGTTAGTGCTGCCAGATTTGGCACTCCCTCTATAACTTTGTCCAGCATAGTCACACCGTCACCAAAATCACACAAGAAAATAAAACAAAAAGACAACATTTAAATGTAGGCAAAAAGGCCAAACAACATTTCCGCAAGCATGTTTTTGGGTCATTTTAGAGTCCTTTTTAAGCGTCCCCAGAGCGAAAGACGCCTATGAACTTCTTAGTTTGTCATGGAAATATAAATGCTTCATTGCTTCTCTGTTACTTTACAAATGAATCAGTCCCAAGCAGCTTCACAAATAAAATATGTCCTTCCCAAATTGGAACTGCACAGCTGGGCCCAGAGCTTAACATAATGAAAACGCTTCAAGCTGCTGAATGCCTGTAAGCAATACTTATTTCGGGGGAAAGTTGTCTGGCTAAATAAATAACTAAAAGATATTAACAGATTAATCCTTATGCTTTTTCTTTTTTAACAAACCATGTAGCCACTGAATTTTATTTATTTTTTACACATTTTGGATATTCAAAATAGTTGTACTTGTATACAGCTGCATTGAAAGATGTCGTTCTTACTTATGAACATCAAATATTCTGTTTTGAACAGGAAACGCAGGCCATAATAAAACGTAGTAAAAACTGTTTATTTACAGAACACTGTCAATTCACTTACAGAATATTTGTTGCAAGGAATATGAAAAAGCCTTATGTCCTGCTCAACTGTTATCAGCATACAGCAGTTTATAAACAGCCAAAGACTTAAAATATGGTGAACTCATTGAAGAAAATGTTGCATGCATTTAATAAAAAAGGGTTGGATCCCCGAAGCCTGCAGCCAGGAACAGTTTCGGTGGTGACACTCAGAAGAGAGGAGCAGACTGCCTGGGGTCGTCTGGCAACACACTGATGGAGTCCTCTGCCTTTCCACACAGCATGCAGAGCATCGTGTACTCCTGGACAACACAAAACAGACTTAATCTACTAAAGGCTAAACGGTGGCAAGAACAACTAACCATGAATACTGTTAAATTAGTGTGGTAGTTAAAAAAGCATTTGCGTTAAATACAAATATACATAGTTATGTTCAATAAAACAGAGTAGAATCTGACCTGGTATTCATCAACAACGGAGAAAGTATATTCGTGCCTGGCGACGACATGATCACAGTTTTTGCAAACATCTGTAAAGAGACATTTACATTATTGGATTGATTACAAACCTGCTGTGGAAGACGTTTTTAAGGGAAGTTGGAATTATTACTACAAGCCCCTAGCTTTTTTGTGAGTCATGATGGGTTCTGGTCATTCTATCTTATTCCAAATTTGACCAAAAATGTATCAAAGCTTAAAACTTGATGTTATAATAAAAAGCGGAAATCTAAAATATTCTGTAATTTAGGAATCAGCACATATTTAGTAATGTACTACAGCTCTCAGTTAGAGGCATAGAAAAACATCTTCCCAAAACTGTTAACACTAGTACAGAAAATACCTCTGCATGCTGCAACATGAACATTTTCCTCAGATTTGACTGATAGGGGCCTCGCCCAAAATTAAAAAAAACAACAACCCCAGAAGTGTGTGGACACAAACTCGATTATTATTTCCTTACAACAATAAAAACACAGTCAAAGTTTCAGGAGCATAAAAAAAGAGTGACTGACGGTCATATGTGATGATCTCTTCTCCATCCTCATCTTCTGTGGCTTTATTGCTGATCAGCACAAAGTCCCTCTGATGGCAGCTGGCGCAGCACCGGTAGTTCATCAGGTAGGAGCCATTCTCCAGACAGGTGTTACCCTGAGCAGAAAGTCAAGGGAAAACCATCACATTTTAGCTTTCTCAATGACAACCTGATTTTGACATGTCATCATCTTTTGCAGAAGTGGGAGATGTTCTCAGATCTTCTACTTGAGTAAAAGAAGAAGTACTAGAGTGTAGGAATCGTCTCGTAAAAGTTATGCATTCAAAAGTAAAGTAAAAGTACACAAGCATTACCATGAAAATGTACTTAAAGTACCAAAAGTAAAAGTACTCATTATACACATTGGCCCTTTTCAGAATAATATACAGTGTATTGTATGTTTTGATTATAATTATTGAAGTGTTTATCAAAGTTGGTAAAGGTAGAACTCATTTTAATTACATAAATTACTGCTTGGTGGCTTTTGAATGTTACTCCAGGTGTAACTTAAGTATTATTTAAGTGTTGTTCATATTTTACATCATTATTCTAAATCTGTAAAGTAACTAAAAGGTACGAAATAAATGTAGTGGACTAAAGGTACACGATTTACCTCTGAATTTTAGTGGAGTAGAAGTACAAAGCAGCATAACATGGGAATACTCAGGTAAAGTACAAGTAGGCCTATCTCAAAATTGTACTTGATGTACTCAGTAACTTCCCACCTCTGCTCTTTCGCAGCGGGTTGTTTACCTATCTTTACATGATACGCATAGCAAGCTAACTACAGTAACGTCATTCAGATAACTAAACATTAACCAGTATGTTGCCTTAGTAACTCACCCTGTCCGGGTATTCCTTTTGCACGCAGCCGTTGCACATTTTGAAGGAAAATCTTAAAACACTGTAATCTTCTAACAAACAGCTTTTCTTATTCCTCTTTTTGGGTCAACATATCCTCTTCCGCATCGAAAGGTAGTCCCTAAAGCTCACAGATCTGTAGATAAACGCTTGCAGCTAAAGCGCTTAATTCCTCTTTGCTGATGTTTTGTAGATCTAAGCAAACTGAGTGTCGTGACACTTCCTGTGTCGTCTTTTTTTCCTTCACACATTTTTCAAAGATATCAGAAAAAGGAACATCATTGTTCATTAAATGAATACAATTGGGATGCATTATATACAGAAAAAAAGAGAGCGAAATAAAAACAAAATACATGTGGTCAAACAGGAATTAACGTGTGTAGAAATTGGTACAATTATATTTGTGAAACTTCCGGTGTCGTCTTTAGCACACGATTGGCCGCCGCAAACCTTACGTAATCTACGTAAGCAAACATGGCCGTTGACTGCAGTTGACTTTTTTTGCCATGTGAAATACAGCTGGTAATTATGATTTATTAACAACTTCCACATAATATTTGGTTGAGCACAAAATGTCATGAATGTATTTAAATGCCGATAACTTTGCACGAGGGGTGAATTGTTGCCAACCGTTTAACGTTAGTCCAACTCAAACGTAAACGCTGGTGGTGATTTA